CTTTCTCTCTCTCTCTCTTTCTCTCTCCTGTCTCTACTTTCTCTGGCTCACTTCGCTCTCCTCTCTCTCTCTCTGGTCTCTCTCTCTCTCTCTTGCTCTCTCTCTCTCTCTGCTCTACTCTGCTCTCCTGTCATCATTCTCTTCTCTCTCTGTCTTTCTTTCTCTCTGTGGTTGATGGCTGTGTCTCTCTCTCTCTCTTCTCGGCTCGATCTCTCTTTCTTTCGCTCTCCTATTTCTCTCTGCTGTCTCATTTTCTCTCTCAACTCGCTCTCTCGGTCTCTCGCTCTCTCTCTCCCCCGCCCCCCTGCGCTAATTCTCTCTACCATTCTCGTATCTCTCTCTGCTCGTCTACCTCTCTCTTCTCTCTCTCTACTTCTCTCTCTCTATCTATACTCTTCTCTCTCTCTGTCTCTCTTGCTCTCTGCTCTCATCTCTCTCTCTACTCTCATTCTTCCTCTCTCTCTCTCTCTACTTCCTCCCCTCTTCTCTCTCTGTCTCTTCTCTCTCTTCGCCCGTCTCTCTCTGCGCCTCTTTCCTCTCGGTAGAGAAGACGATGTCGAATTAGAACCCAGCCAAAGATCTGAATGAAGTGCCTTTGCTTAGAATAATGTTTTGATTAGCCGTTGCCACGCACTACTGCGTATATTTGACAAAAGCGCGTCGGTTCCTGCAGCGACGATCGTAACTTTAATGACGAGAGACGTTCGGCGACCTGATTGAATTACGAACAGTCGAGAGGATTGATCGACGGCGTGTATGTAGCCGAAAGAGTTTTCGTGTTTTAACTCAAGCCGAAGTGGCAGCAGAAGTCGGCGCGCACACCGCAGGTGACGCACACACTCACGCACACTCGCCACAGCACACAGAAACACACGGCGCGCGCACACCCACGCACGCTCGCACACAACAGACAGCACGCGCCGGCACACCCACGCAACGTCATCCGCACACACACCAGACCACACGCGCGACGCACACCCACGCACCTCTCGCAACACCACAGACCAACAGCTCAGCCGCACACACCACGCCACACTCGCTCACACACAGACACAGCGCGCGCAACACCCACGCATCATCCGCACACACACAGACACACGCGCGCGCACACACCCACGCACACTCGCACACACATGAGATCACGCATGCGGCACACACCCACGCCACTCGTACCATACAGACACACGCGGCGCGCACACACACACAGCACTCTCCGAACACACACTGACACAACGCGCAGCGCAACCCAACGCACACTCCACACACACAGACACACGCGCGCACACACACCCACCGCACACTGCGCACCAGAACACCACGCGCGCGGCACACCACAAGCACACTCGGCAACACACAGACACCACTAGCGCGCGCACACAACCACGACCACAACTCGACAACACAGAACACGCGCAGCGCACACCCCACGCACACTCGCTCACACACAGACACACGCGCGCACACAACCCACGCACACTCGTAAACATAACAGACACAACGCAGCGCGGCGCACACACACCAACTCTCGCATCACACAAGACACCGCGGCGGGGCACACCACGCACACTCGCACACACACAGACAGCACGCGCACAGCAACAGCCCACGCGGAACACTTCGACACCGCTGTCTAGAGAGCAACAGATCGGTGACCTGGGCTGCCACCGTCTGCGCATGCGCGCTCCCCTTCGCCTGTTTGCCCCGTGCAAACAGCGACGATATATACTCTCGCATGCGGGCGCATTCTCACTACACATGCACCGCACCGCACACACGCATGCATTACGGGTGAGGTGCCCCCCCTCCTCCCCCCATATAGGCAACATGCCATCATTGTATACCTGCATGTCAGTACACCGCCGTGCGCGCTACGAGCCGTACGTCCACGTGCGCCTCCACACATCGTCAACGTCGTCAACGTCGTCGTCGTCGTCGTCGTCGTCGACGACGCTTCTGCAACCGTCGTCCGCTCGTGACGTCATCGCGACGAAACAAAAACGCGCTATTTAGAGAGGTTATTATCTCATGTCGATAAGTCGCTGCCGAGGCACGGACAAAAGACAAAAGTGGCTGCTAGCTGATTGAGGAGGCCCCTGTACTGTTACCGGCGGCAGGTATAATTGTAGTCCGCTCGCTGCGCGCTCATTGGCTGGCCGGCGTCACGTGAGTGACCTTCATTTGGTCAATGAAATTTCAGGCGCTAGCCCCTTGGCAGACGTCATAAAAATAGTTGTGGCAGTGAGAGACGGTTCGGATAGGCAGCGCTCCTCATCGGCGTCAAGATAGTGTGGCAGATACACCTGCGGTTTCGCTGAGATATACATACATATACGCACTCGTACGTACGTACACACTGGAATCAAATGTGATCGAATTACGGCACTGAGTTTTCGTCTGCGTATTCGTTTAGCGCTCGATGTGCTATGGTGTTTCGTGTGCTTGGTGTGTGATCGCTAGGTGATGTGAATGGAAGCAGGACCGCCAGCACACGCGATACGGCCTGATCGCAAACCGCGGACAACTAGAGACGAACAACTGTTAGATGTGATCGCGTGAGTGTGGACGGGGATTCTGACGTGCAGTACGGACCCAGCAGCGGGTTGCTAACACCGCTCTCGTGGATTACATACTCAACTCGTCACATAGTGTGGAGAGAGACGGCCGTCGCGGGCTGCCGCGCCCTCGGACTCGGACGCTCCGACCCACCGAGTCCAAGCCAGCCATTCTCGCGCTTACCAGACCAATACACGTCGCTGACAAGGATGAGATGCATGTTATCCATTACCTTTTGCTATTGTAAGTAGTCGTCGCCTCGGCCGACGACGGATGTTCATGTTCTTATAACTCTCTTACAGCCGTGGAGCGAGCACGCACACACGCACGCACGCACGCACGCACGCACTTGTGGTCGGTCTGCAGGTGTAATCATAGGGCAGCTCGGCATAAATGATAAATGTCGCACCGTATCGTATATCGCCGTGCATCTTGCACTCGCATTAAAAAAAAAATATACTCCACGGGGGCAGATAACATACTACTACATAGCGGTGCCCTCCTCGCTGAGACGGCAGGGTAAAGGGAGAAGTACAGAACAGAAGGAGTGTGAGTGCCTGCCTTCATCGCTGCATGCGGGGCTACGCGTATTGTGTGAGCTGCTGCTGACGTGCGAGGGTATGGTTCTCCTAGCTCAGCTATTATTCTCTTGATCTTTGCTATCTGCTATTTGTCTATATCTGTGCTGCTCGGTGTACACTGCGTGTGGTCGAGCAGGGCTGAACTGTGCCCTGTATGTACTGCTGGCGCGTACAGCGGTGAACGGGGCGGCCAGGTAGCATGGAATTCGCCACGGCTCTCTCTCTCTCTCTCTCTCTCTCTCTCTCTCTCTCTCTCTCTCTATCTATCTATCTGTCTATCTCTAGCACGCGCCTTCTCTCTC